AAGGCCCATGGGGAGAATCTTTCCATGCCTTTTATTCTGGTGTTTGCAAGTCTCTTCCTTGGCTTGTGGTTGCTTAACTGTAATATCGGCTTCTGTCTTCATGTGTCTTCTCTTTCTGTCCCTGTCTCATTCCTTCAGGTGTCTCTTGTAAGGGCACTTGCCACTGAGTTTAGGGCCCACCCAGACAATCCATAGTAATCTCAAGATCCTTCCCTTATTCATATCTGCAAAAACCTTTTTTCCAAATAAGGTTACATTCACAGGTTCAGAGTGTAGGATGTGGGCATGTTTTGTGAGGGTACACCATTCAACCTAATAGAAATGGGTAGAAGAATAATAGGGGGAAAATATCATTTGTTATTCACTTTTGTGACGTGTCATCTGGGAAGCATAAAGCTAAGCCTGGAATTTCAGTGCCCTGGAAGATGGAAGATGAAATTAGCCAGAAAATGTGGAATTATGGAGACAATTTTATAAACTGACCAATGATTCCTCTCTTTTTAGATTTGCATTTATTCCCTCCCTTCGAATTTAATGCCAGCTATAAATTTGTTGGTTTGATGCCTATTTCAAAACTAGGTTTTAAAGAAAAACCAGCACTGAGTTGAAATTCTCAATGGCTTCATTTTTTTTTTTTTTTTTTGAGTAACTGAAAGTCAATTATTTTAAGTGATGATAGAAATCTCTCTGGGTAGCATTAGGTATTTGTAGCCGAAGAATATACATTTAACATAATTTGACAACTTTCCGTCATTAATCCATTCATATCTTCTATCCTAAAGCTTGTGTCATCTCATATTTATTGGGATATCAAGAAGCCTGAAAAATCTTCTAAAATACTGTATCAGGCTCACAATTTTCAAGCATATACCTTATTCTCTTAAATGACTCACAGTTGGAATACAATAAATACTGTATTATTTTTTTCTTCAACAACATGATACCATGTTAAATCATTAGCACAGTGCCTGTCACATGGCAAGCATTCAACAGAGGTTGTTGTCATTATTATTAATTTTATCATAGACAGGACCATTCAACAGCGATTTTCCAGTGGTCACTCCTTTCTTCTAGTAACAGTGGTTCACTTTATGCTTTGAATATACCCCTTGTTGCTCTAAAACTGACATTTTTTTCTTCTTCCCAACCTTCTCCTCCCTGACCTTTTTCTCCCTGATCCTCTCCTCCCTAAGTCCTCTTCTCTCTGATCTTCTCCTCCCTATTTGCATCTCCCTAATCTCAAGAAACAAAATTCCTCTGTTAAAAAAAAAGAAAAAGAAAAAAGAAAAAGAAAAACTTCTCCTCATGATGGGAATAATCACAGACTCTGGGACAGGAGTTCCCCGTGTTTCTCCTTTTCTAGCAAAGCAATGAAACTTCTTTTGCCTTTTTCTCAAAGCCTTGCCTTTATTATTGGATTGGCATTAGGAACAAGGACCAAGCTTTCAGTAACATTCTCATCTTTCCAAAATTATGCCACTGGATTGTTTCCTTCATTTATAAGGATCTACTTACAAATTATTGACTCCTAAATCCTATAGTTTGTCTCAGCCTTTGTCTTGTGTTGTTTTGGGGCAGGTCACTCAGAAAACACTGAGTCCCAGTTTTGTCCAAATTGAAGAGTCTTTATTTAGCAGGCCAGCAGGTGACTGCTCCCCGCAGGACCCACAACTGTCTCTCTGCAAGGACCAGCCCCAAGCCTGAGCATTTTAGGATATTTAAAGGCAAAAACCACATGGGGGCTGACATAGCTGCAAGCAAGCAGGTACAGAAGCTGAATTGGGCAGTCAGCAAGACAATGCAATGGGTACATTGGTATTTCCCACAGGACTTTTCAGATTGGCATAGCAACAAGCAAGCAGAAGGAAAGTAGGTCAAAATGACACTAATTCAGTGCAGGTTAGAGAATGGTTAGTAACGTCAAGACAATGGTACATTGCTCAAGAAAAATGGAAACCAAAGAGAACAATCGTGTAAGAATTGCTATTTTGTTCGCCAAGTATGCTATGCTAGGTAACTATTAATAGGTACAGAAGCAGGGCTTTCCCATGGGAGAAGCATTTCTTACATGATATGGAGTCTCAGGGCAAAATGGAGTCTGTTTGGTCATTGCCCATATAGCCTGGCCCATAACAGTGTATCCATGCATCTGTTGGTACCAGGACATGTCCATTGGCTTCCATTATATTTTGCCATCTCTCTGATTTATTTTCTAGCCCTTCCTTCTTCTTCTGGTGACTAAATACAAGCTCTCTCAACATGCAACAGAATCAAGACCTGCATCCCAAACTCCCTGCTTTCATAACCTCCACCAGTTATTTCCCTGACCCTTAAACTCAATCAGCCTCATTATTTTTACCTCAAAACTGATTCTTTACCAGCTTGACTTCATGGAAGTAACACTTGTCCAATCGTCTAGGTCAAAGCTTCAAAGTAATTTTGAAGATCACTTTTCTTTGTAAATCTTGGCTTAAAAGAGAGCAGCCCTTTCTCTTCCATTAAAGTCCTCTTCTTTTAATATCCACCTATTTATAAGCTTCTCCTTTTTTTCAGTGAGAAATAAATGGAACTAAAGTTTCCAAACCAGGGTTAAAAAAACCTGGAGACAAGTGAGTAGAATATGACTGGGAAAAGGGAGTAGAATATGACTATAACATGAGATAGTTTTAAACGTTTACCTTTACCTGTTACTCTTAAAATTCAATGAATTACCAAGCCACATGCATTTGTCTTCCTCGAGAGAAAAAAGGAATTGGGCATGCAGACTGAGCTGCAAAGATGTTTATCACAGTATTATTTATGTTAATAATATAAAAATATTTAAGTTCCCAGAAATAGAGCATTGACTGATTAAATATTGCTTTATATATAAAATATGCAATGAATACTCCATAGCAATTTAAATTATGATGTAATAATCTATTGAAAAACACAGAAATATACTTACAGACGTTGCTCAGTTAAAAAAAGAATAGAAGTTTCAAAGAGAAGAAATGGGACATACCACGGAAAAATTCTGAGAACTACTATTTTCTTCAGATTTTTACCAGTGGATTTCTAGGTGTAAATGTAATGATTATACTTTCATGGCAGTCCAAGAGATGCTTCAAGATTAAAAAAGAAGCAGAAGTGGAATGGATTTAGAGCAATCTAAACAATTTAAAGAGCATCAATTTTAAAGAATCATAGAATTCAAAAAGAACATTAGATAGCAAATCCACCTCACTTTATATGCCTTATGGCACTTGAAGCTGAGTGTCTTGCTCTGTGTCATGTATCTGGTCATAACACATGAAATCTGAGGTTTCTAACCTCATGGTATTAGTTCTCACTATTTTCCTATCACTGTTAACCTCACAAATACATCCACTCTGGAAATTTTAAGAATGTGTAAAATTAGTGCATTCTCAAGGGCTGAGAATATTCATCCTATGGAAACCAAATAGTTTTCTGCCCCACCTAAGAGCAGGGATTTTTGGAAAGAATTTGCATTTGATTTTGGGAGGGTGGCTTCTTCAATGAATATAACTGTTTGCAAGTTGCTTAATTTTCCTAAACCTCAGATACTTTGTCTGCAAAATGGGAGAATTATTATCTGAACCATAAATATGCTCTGAGGTCTAAATATAGTAAACATGAATTGAGAGCAGACCTCTGCCTATACATAGTGACTGTTGGATTGATGACAACTCCTTTCCCTCTCTCCTTGTATTGCTGATAAAGAGATCAGTTCAGACATACCATGAGCCTGCCATCACGTGTTGAGTTGTGTCCTCCACCCAAAATTCATATGTTGAAGTCCTTACCCCCAGTATCTCAGAAAAAAATGTATATTGAGTAAGCCATTGGGTTTGTGATCCTTTTAATGACAGCTTTGGGGAAGTTGAATACCCATATTTCTTGGATTGACCATTATTTGTAACAATATCTCTCCATCTTTTCCAAATTCAAGGAAAGCAGGTTGAGAATCCCTTTCACCCAACTCTGAGTTAATGTGTCTTCGAGAACAAAGAAGGCAAGGAACCTCTCATAAATGATTCTGGTTCTAATCTTCCAATATCTTACCAAGCCACGGTTAGTCATACAGGATGTGGGTTGTTGGAATAGGTAGGTGAGCAGACAGGCAGGCAGGCCAGTAGGTAGGTAGGTCTGTCAGTCGGTTGATTGATCTCAAAGTTCATATCTATGTCTTTATCAGATCTATATAATCTGTGTCTAAATCTAGTCTGCCTTTTAAGAAACATAATATTGTAAGCTATTTCCTCCACTTGAAAAATTTGCTACAAACACCACTTTAAGAAAACAGTCACACCATACTCTCTCATACACTTCTATTTACCATAATTTGCCAACCATTAGTGTATCTTTTCAAATAAAACTTTATCTACATTTCAGAATATTTCCTTGAGTTAGTTGCCAGAGGGCAATTTCTAAGGGCCACCGTTATGGTTTTAATGTTCTTTACTTATTGCCAAATTGTTCTGCAGAGAAGATGGTTATTCTTTCTTTGAGATTTAATCACAAGATCACTTTTTGTTAGCAAGAGAAGGACATGGGGAACATTGGAAGCCTCTGTGGTCAGCTGCCACATCAGCTGATGGATGTCACCTCGGGAAAAGTTCAAAGTCTTACAGGGTGTTTGCATCATATCTGCAAAAACATCTGGTTCACAACTCTCTGGTACCCAGCATTTAAATTCAGTGCAACCTAAAAATTGTCAGACCAAGTACTGAGCAGAGGCACCCCTATCCTCTTTAGTCTCAGGATGTTTCTCCTGGCCTGCACACTGAAGTGTTTAGTTAAGAGATAGTTTTCAATAAACTGTTGTCACTTGAGAATAAACAGTCTGGACCATGTACGGTTTATTTGGGATACTGAAAAAATAAACAAAATTCAGGGTCAGCTTCCTTCTTGTCTTTGTAGCTCTTTCTGGAATGTGTGCCCCCAGCCCTTCCCTTTCTTCCCTGTAGCAGAAGTTTGATTTAACATAAAGCTATTTATTTGGCATTTCAGGAAAATCCTTTTCTGAAGAACTTCAGCAATGAATGGCTTTGGAGTCCTGCTTCGAAATAATCAGTTCATCCTCCTGCTCTTCTTTCTCTTGCAAATTCAGAGTCTGGGTCTGGATATTGATAGTCGCCCTACCACAGAAGTCTGCGCTACACACACAATTTCACCAGGACCCAAAGGTGAGGAAAGAAACCCTCAATCTCATGTAGTAAAGACCATCTCTTCCCTTATCCCCACTCTATGTTCTCAATGACTTTCCTTTATCCCCTTTATCAACTTTCTCCCACCTATATTTTGGGAAATCACTAGTAGGTACTTATTTGAAGTCTTCTCTGATATTAGGTAAGAGAAGGTTGGGAGGAGATGTAAGCCCTGGGGTAGGAATCTGATTGAATTTACCAGGGGACAGAGGAAATCTCCTCCATCATACCCACAGGAAGATGTGCATCCAAGTCATTGTTCTTCAGAAACACTTTCTTTAAGAGCATCTAGCTCTATTCTTGGGCTGGTTTTCTTCCTCCCCTTTCTCATACTGATTCTGCTAAAGCTATTTAGGCAAAAGTTCAGTGAAAGAAAACTTAAATCTTAAACATATGTTTCATTAATTACTTGGCTCCTAGTTTCCAATGAAGAGGATGAATTTTGGGGGGTGATGGGGTGAAAGATTGGAGGTAGTGTATAAATGAACAATTCTTTATTTGAAAGTAGAATCTTTGAGGTCAAGTGCCTTTCGCTGAAGAATGATTGAATATTGCAATTTTTTTCCAAGCAGAGCCAAGGTCCAAATATGCTTCAAGCAACTGGTTGAAAAAAAAAATTAAAAAATAAAAAATAAATCTGCTTTCCTGGCTTCAGCTCTTACCCTTTTGTTCTGAAAGTGGTCACTGCACTGCAGATTGGTGCTCTCTTATTAGTAATTCATGCTATGCTTCTTCAGGCTATAGGGCAGAAGAATTGCAGCTGCTTAAAATTTTAAGTAGAAAAAAGGGTCTTTCCAAAAACTGTTTTTTAAAAGGCCTGATGTTTGTCAGTTATTTAAATGTGTATTGCTTAAAGTGCATTTTTTAATCAGTGAATTAATTTCCTCCAAAGATTGCAATCCAAGTTTTAACCTTTGATACCATAAAATAAATGCAAGAAGGAACAATGAGACCTTGGGGCTTCCAAATAATTTCTTGAGTGAATAAATGAATAATGTGAGGGCAAATGTTCAGAAAAGAAAGTTTTGATTAGAAATAAAGTATTTACTTAAAACCATTACTGTATTTTCCAAAGAGTGTAGGAAACTTTGTGTTATTACTGTGGTGTCATGGACAGAGCTGAAATTAATGTTTTCCTTGATTGTGTAAGTGGGAGGGTCTGTTTAAAAGGAGCACCAGTAAATCATTTTCCATGCACAGAAACTGTAACTTTCCAACTGAAAGAACAATAAGATATTATTAAAATAATTTCCAAGATATAATATATGTCAATGTAACAATTTCATTCATTGCAATTTAACTGGCATATGTTGAAAACTTAATAAGTGTCAGGCACTATTTTAGGCACAAGATGTACACAGGATAATATGTCTAAGTGCCATAAACAATGAAGAGGTAAATAATTTATGGGGGCACAGAGGTCAGAGCAGATTTTCTAAGACGATAGTGACTCAGATGGGTCTTAGGTAAGAATTGTTTAGGCAGATCAGAATACCCAAGGAATGGGTAAAGCTTAACAGAAACTAGAAAATGTGCTGAATGCACTTGGCTGAAGAATCCCCTTAATCCTTGCTCTTTTTTTTTTTTTTTTTTGACCAGAGATTTAATCCTGGGGTGCATAGCCACTGTAACACACATCCCTAACCCTTATTATGTCTTATTTTGAGACCAGGTCTCACTAAATTCCTTAGGACCTTGCCAAGTTGCTGAGACTGCCTTTGAACTTGCAAGCCTCCTGCCTCAGCCTCCTGAGCGGCTCAGATTATAAGCATTTGCCACCATGCCCTGCTTAATCCTTGCTTTTAAAAAATTAAAAAGTATAGATAAAAACCTTAAATCTTTCCAAGAAAAAAAGCAAGGAGTATACTTTAGAAATCCTTTGAAAGCATCTTATTTTACTTTATTGTTTTAATCAGGATGTAATTAATATTTGCTGAATGTCAGCAGGCTGTCTACCCTGTATCCTTTTATCGTTATTTCTTCACCTACCACAAAACTCTTTCCCATTACAAATGCTGTTACAATTTCAAGGGATGGAAACTTCCTTAACTCTATTCTTGAGTCTGTGTAGAATTATGAGATGATTACAACCAGAGTATGGCAGGATGAAAATGTGACACATCTAAGGAAGAGGGACACTGGAAGAGGGACTCAAGATGCCATTTCTTCTCTTCCCTGGAGCCTGGGGACTTTGCATGAAAAGCATTCTAAGTTCCTTCTTAATAAATAGATGCTATGATTCTGGAATGTACTGTACAGCCCTGGAGTCCTTGGTTAGATGCCGAGGGTTTAAAGCTAAGATAAGGAACCTTCCTAGGAGTTAGGTCTACAGGGTAAGTTTGGGATTAGATTGCAGACTCTTAGGATCAGCACTTGTTTCTTTCTCTACAAATTGCCTACAAATGTACATGGAACTATCTAAGCATATTTATTACTGCTTTTCCTCTACAATAGGTGCTATGTGAGATATCATGTGCACACCAAAAAACAAGATATGGCAACTTCTCTCAAATATAGAATACCATCTCTACTTCATTCCTTTATGAATACTGTAACAGCCCCTCCCAACCCCAAACAAGGCAGACTTGGATCTTTAACTCCACAGAATGAAAAAACAAAATGCTCAATGGCTATATAAACACTTCAAAGGGCTGGGTTATCACTTTTGTTAATATATTTTTCCTAAGACTAAGTGGTCTGTATTTTTGACTAACCATCTCATTACCTTATTTACTGGCACTGCAGCACTGAGCTCAGAAGCTCTAGATAGTATGGGAAACAGACAATAAAAGGAACTAACTTTAATCTCATATAGGAAATATGCAAGTTATTTTGAGTTTCAGTTGGAAAACAACCAGTAATACTATTCAGTTATAGAAAAGTTGCCCAATATAAAGACATTATTTTAGAGTACAAGTTCCTAAGTATCACTTAGTGGAAAGAAAGGCACTATATATTCAGTCTGCTTGATCTTCAGCTTATTATTATATCTACTTTTTGCTTCTGTTTCTTTATTTGAAAAATGAACCTTCATTGTAGACTTGTCCTGAAAATATTGAAATAACCAAACATCAAAAATAGATATGTAACAATTTTCCCTAAGTTTGTTAAGTAACAATTCGGGAAATAAGCATCATTACAATTATCAAAACTTATTTGTTGAAAGTCACCATTATTTTTCTTTCTGTGCCTTAATTTGTTGTTTTATGCTGCTTTAGTAGAAAAGTGCTGTTTTTTCTACCCTTGGTGGTTTCTTTTAGAAACTTATGTGAAATTCTGACCCCTAGTGGTTTTACTTGAAAACAACAATGACAAGAAATTTAGAAAATAACTTTTGAATTAGCAAGACATATTTGGAAGATGCTTTAAAATGTTCAAGGAAATTCCAAAATTTTCACAATTTTCCTATGTGGTGGTAATTCCATAAACATAATGTAAGGAAACAATCTCAATGACTGCCCAGAGTCTTTCAGTAGATGTGAACAGGGAACTTAAATTTGACCTCTGGCCTCTGACTATAAGACTGTTGTCATTACATGACATCCACTAGTTTACACTAGCTATATATTGGGTTTAAAACAGACCTGCTGGGTCAGTGGTGCACATCTGTAATCCCAGTGACTGGGGAGACTGAGGATGGAGAACTGCAAGTTTGAAGTCAGCCTCTGCACCTTAGGGAGATCCTTTTCAAAATGAAAAGGGCTGTGGATATAGTTCAGTATAGAGTGTCCTGGGTTCAATCCCAACACTCTTTCTCTCCTACACACACACATACACACACACACACGCACATGCACACACATGCACACACACACGCTCACACAATAATCTGCTGGCCATATTTTTGGTAATAGCAAGTGACTAAGACAATGGGGTTCATGCAACCCCATAGCCCAACAGTTGCATTAGACACTAAAACATGCTGAAAGTTTATGGCATATTTCCTTTCTGAAAATCAACCAGGCCTTCATTAGTTGGTTTGGAAATCAATGCTCTGTTACCCTATTGCCTATCTTGGCTTCTGCTAGCTTCTTAGTTTTCTTTCAATGGCATTTTTGTCTTTAGGGTCTACAAGGTCTTTTCATATCTGGCTTCTCCCAACTTCTCCCACATCATTTCAAACTACTCCTCTGCCTGTACCTTCCTCTGGACATTCTGGTCTTGTTTTTCATTACTGACTCAGAGCCGTGGTCTCTGCCTGGTTCTGTCTTCCCAAGGATGGTTCTTTCTCATTGAGATCTTAGCTCAATTGCCCTACGCACAGCAAGCCCATGCCTGGCTTCACCTGTCCTCTTCCTAAGACATCTTACTATTTTCACAGACTCACTATTAAATGAGAACTTCTTGTGCATTTTATATGTGTCTAGTCAGGCCTAGAATGCAAGCTGCATGAAGGCCAAGACCCCACCCATTTACTAAATTTGTTATCCTAGCTCCTGCACATAGTGGGTACTTGTTAACATTTTTGATTAAATAAATAAATTCAAATTTTTCAAAATCCCTTAACATTTTAGCAATAATGTAAACTGTTAATACAACTTCATAATATCCTGTCTGTTCATAGAAAATGTTGTGGATGATTCTAAAAAAGGTTTTTTTTCCTGTTGGGGGGCATTGTGATTGGATCCTTGCCAGTGGCCACTGATCCTCTGCTAAGTGCAACAGTGCCACTGCTTCCTTGGTGCTCCTGTCTCAGCCCAGCCCACGCACTGACCTGCTGCCACCTCATTCAACTAGAAGAGTTTTGGGTCACTTTCTAGAACATGGCAACTCCTGAGAGTAGCCATCACTACTCTTCCATTCATGTGGCCTGCGATGAATCACACGGCAGAAAAAGACTGTCTCCCCCTTCAGCAAGGCTCTAATGACAATGTCAACCAGTGTGTTAGTATGACTGTCAAGAGCTGCCATTTGCAACAGTGCAAGTGCTTTACAACCATATTTCAATTTAAGTATCTCAACAGACTTTGAGGAGGAAA